TTTTTTCATGTTTTTTTGAGGATTTTTGGTGGTTTTTTGGGTTTTTTTAGTGTTTTTTAGGGATTTTTTTGCTGATTTTTTTCACGTTTTTTCAGTCATTTTTTCCCATTTTCTCCTCATTTTTTCCCATTTTTTTTCCCGTTTTTCCCATTTTTCCCAATTCCGTGGTTTCCCCCGTGTTTTTCCCGTTTTTTCCCGTTTTTCCCCATTTTTCCCCCGTTCTGTGTGCTGGAGGCCGCGCTGACCTTCTCACAGATGGACAGTGATGTGGTCACTTGGGATGTGGGAGGGGTCACTCAATGTCCTGGGGGGTAAAAAACCCAAAAAACCACCAAAAATCCATGTAAAAAACCACCAAAAATCCATGAAAAAACCACCAAAAACCACCCAAAAAAACCACCAAAAATCAGCAAAAAATTTACAAAAAATCACCAAAAATCTTAAAAAAACACTCGGGGACTCCAGAAAAAAACACCAAGAATCACTCAAAAAGCACAAAAAATCCGTGAAAAATGAGTAAAAATCCACCAAAAAATCACAAGAAATCGGTGAAAAATGACCAAAAATCAGGGAAAAATGAGCAAAAATCCACCAAAAATTGGGGAAAAAATTACAAAAATCATGAAAAATCTTTAAAAAGCACTTGGGAACTCCAAAAAAAACACAAAAAGTTTTTAAAAAATGCACCAAAAAAACACCAAAAATTGGTGAAGAATGACCAAAAAACCACCAAAAATCCACCAAAAATCTGTGAAAAAACCACCGAAAATCAGCGGAAAATTACCAAAAATCCACCAAAAAGCCACCAAAAATGGGCAAAAATCAGCGAAAAATGAGCAAAAATCGGTGAAAAATGACCCAAAAACCACCAAAAATCAGTGAAAAATGAGGAAAAAACCACCAAAAATGGGCAAAAAATGGCCAAAAATTGGCGAAAAAATTACGAAAAATCACCAAAAATTGTTAAAAATCACTGAAATGCCCCAATTTTTTAATTTCAGGATACCAACCGTGTGACCCGGAAGTGATCCGCAACCGCGTGGGCCACGTCCAGTCGTGCCTGGACGAACTGACCGCCCTGGCGGTCAAGCGCCGCCGCGACCTGGAGGACTCACGCCGCCTGTGGTCATTCCTGGAGGAGATGGACGAAGCCGAGTCCTGGATCCGCGAGAAGGARCAAATCCTGGCGGTCAAGCCCTCCGGCCACTCCCTGAGCTCGGTGACCGCGCTGACCGCTAAGCACCGCGCCATGCTGGCCGAAATGGGCCAACGCCGCGCCCTCCTCCACCGCAGCGTCCGAGCGGGCGAGGAAATTGCCGCCGGACGTTCGGCCGGAGCGGCCAAAGCCCGGGAAAAACTCTCCGAGGTGCTGGTCAGTTGGAAAAAACTGGAAGAAGTGACCGGACGTCACCAGAAAGGGCTGGAGGAAGCGGTCAGTTTTTTCCAGTTCGTGGCCGAAGTGGACGAGCTGGCGGCGTGGCTGCAGGACGTTTACCGCGTRGTGTCCAGCGACGATTTCGGCCACGACGAGCACTCGAGCCGGGCGTTGCTGCGGAAGCACCGGACGGTGACGTCCGAGCTGGACAATCACCGGGAAACAGTGGCCGGACTGAGGGGTCAGCTGGCCAAATTGGCTCCGGCCGGACGTCGCGAGGGCGTGGAGGCGCAGATCAGGGTGGTGGAGGTGGAGGAGATGATGGCCGAAGTGGCCGAAGTGGCCGTGCTGCGGACGCAGTGGCTGAAGGACGCGCTGGACGTTTACCGGATGTTCGGAGAGGTGGACGCGTGCGAGGCGTGGATGGACGAGAAGGAGCAGTGGCTGGAGACGGTCCGAGTGGCCGGAGAGGTGGACGGAGTGGAGGTGGTGCAGCACAGGTGGGTGGGAGTGACCACAGCCATGAGTGACCACTCAATGTCCACCCATGGGTGACCAAAACCCCTCAATGTCCATTTGGAGTGACCAAAACCCCTCAATGTCCATCTGGAGTGACCAAAACCCCTCAATGTCCATCTAGAGTGACCACACCCATGGGTGACCACTCAATGTCCATCTGGAGTGACCACACCCATGGGTGACCACTCAATGTCCATCTGG